ACCGGAGCATGGACGTCTAAAATATCATGAAGGGTAGTATTGTACAGAGATGTCAACAAGTCAACATCCTCTGTTTCATCGATAAGAAATAGACAGATTAATATCTCTAATGAAATTGGTCAATTTTATTTATGTTACGTCTTTCAGTGTATTTAACCGTAGCCGGAGGACGACCAACATTCAAGTTTACTACGACGGCCGCATGGTCAGAAGGAAGATCATATTTTACAGATGAACCAAGTACAAAACATTCTGTCTTTGGTGACAATACAAGATCAAGCGTGTGTCCTCGTTTATGTGTAGGAAGTGTAATATGTTGGAAGAGATCCATTGAATCCCTATCTTCCTTTACATCTACATGTATATTAAAATCACTCACGATCAGTAGGTTTGAGCTTGTCAATGATAATGACTCACCGAATAGTGAAAACTCATTTAAGAACATGGTTGATGTAAGCTTTTAGCAGAAGGAGGAGGTCTGTAAATAACAACAATTCTGAAACCGGTAGATTGGTAATCAATAGTTAAGTCAATGTATTCAAAAGACTTGGAACATAGTATCACCCCCAGTCGGTTTCACATTAAATCCAGTCTTATGCAAGAGGGCTACTCCACCACCACGGTGAGTACGAACTTGATAAATTAGCTTGTGATCAGGTAAACTTTGCATTAAATCTGCAATTGCCCGATCGTCACGTTCACTACCTGTAAGCCAGGTCTCAGTGAGAGCTAATATATCGATATCATCGTGTTTACAAAATCACAAATGGAGCCAACTTTAGATTTTATTGAACGTGCATTCCACAGTGCAAATTTTGTTAAGTATTATTACCATTATATCATTAACTGGTATTTTAATTAAGTTATTCGTAGGGCATGTCATTTTGGGAGGGCTCTTCTTTATGTTTACAACTGGTATTCGGTGGCGAGTGACACGCCTACCAGCCCTACAGCCTCTTATTATTATTGTTATTTTCCCTAAGAAATCTAATTAATGCGGGTTGTAGTTTGTAGGAACGGTTGATAAAGTTCAATAACATTTCCCTGCTGTAGGTATAAGTAAACTTTCCAGCCAAGTCAGCCACTGACCTGAAACGAAGACCAAGGGGCCAAAGCCCTGCTCTCAGGCCTTGGAAAATCATTCAGTCAACGAGGCGTAAGCTAGCCTAGGCCTAGCACAACAATGATCAAATTGCCAATAAAAATAGAACAAAACATCTGATTAAATCTTTACAGGAGCGTCTCAAGTTTCTTAAAAATAACATATGATACAGACCAGTCACAATCAATTTTCAGAAAAATGGAAAATAACATATAAAGCAGAGTACAATTCACTCATCAGCGGCATGTAGAACAGCCCCATCACCGACTTTTCTGTATCATATCAAACATTTTTTTTCCACCGGAGCCTGACTTTAATTTATCTTCTTGTTACTCAACAACAAATTAATTTTGTAAAAGCTGATTGTTGGCGGCCATCTTGGATTTTGGCAGCCATTTTGTATACATGTAAACAAAGTGAATTATTAGCCACCTATTTAGTAAAAAAAAATAAACTGTATAATCTTTTTTTTTTAAATATTAGGCAGCCATTTTGGGTTTGGCGGCCATTTTAGATTTGGCGGCCATTTTAAATTTGGCGGCCATTTTGTTTCACTTTACATGGTAGTGCATGATTTTGCGCAGTTACAGTTAAAAGAAAATAAAAAAGTTATTTAAAACAATTATTACTTTGTATAGTATCTTTGTAATGTTTGTATTGTCTAAAATGAGCAAAATACATTACATTATTTGGGCCACTGGTCACAATTGTCGAATACAAAAAGTTTCCTCAATTTTCTAAAATAATAAAATATTTAAAAAGGTGTAACTTTGCTTCTAGTTACCCAATTGCAATGATTGAACCTTCATTTTATTTCAAATTTGTAGCTCTTTAATATAGAGCTAAATTTGGAAAAATATTTGCAACTTCAAATTTTAATGATTCTGCCTACCTATAGCAAATAAAAAGGATAGCAGTTTTGCTAGATTTGGAGACATCAAGCGAGAATAAACTATTTTAATAGTAGAAGCCAGGCCTAGGCCTTAGCTACCAATGAAAATTACCTAAACCTAGCCTAGTAGTATGCCTATAGTATAAGTATGCCCCTAGGCGGGTATTCGGGCTAGGCCCTAGGCCTAAGCCTAGCCTTAGTAGACCATTCTCTATGGTAGACCATAAAATACGCAAGAATAACAGAAAGGATTTTTAACCCAAACATTGTGATAAGCCCCAATCGAAATACATGAAATGGGCCTAAATTTTTATGACATAAATTTGATCGTAAATTTTTCGCGCCACGTTTCTCATGATCGCGATGTCGACTTTGCAAAAAAGCCAAAATCGAGTCGGTCATTTCTATTGGCTAATCATGACGTAATATCATTTACCGTACCTTTAGCATTCGGAAGTTCCGATACGGTACCGTATCTCTAGCCACGGCGAATTAATAAAAGAGTAAAACAAGTAAATTAATTGAAATATTCCCCAAAAATATTTAACAAAATAGTACAAATAACGAATAAGTTAATTGAAATACACCGCAATTAACACACTACATTCACTGAGAGACGCGCTTGGCGTTTCATTGAAATGACCGGCGGCTCAACCGGTCATAAGCTGGTCTAGCTACCCTACTAGAATAGGCACCACACGATGCGTGACGTCACGCACTTCAACTAGTGTCATTAGCCAAGTTCAGCCAAACGTGCCTTAAGAAAATATTCATATAAAATGCTTTTTGATTGGCTGAGACGTTTTCATCAGGTCAATCAGGTCACTCAGGGGTCGAAGTAGTACACCATTTTGATATTTTCCGAAATCGGTCAACTTTTATCGAAGTTATAAACTTTTTAAAATTTCATTAAAATTTGTCGTTTTTTTCCAGAGAATTGCGAGTAATAAAGTTCATTTTTTTAATAACAAAGATTAGTTTATATATCTAAGAGTTTATTTGCCAAATATGAATGTAATACGAGGCGTAGCAATATTTTTTTTTGGCACCGCAAAACCGACAATCAGCTGTTGATCGGCCATCGTGTACACGAGGTAAACCATAACAATCTTAACGAAAGTGCTGCATATAAACGGCAATATTTTTCATGTAAATAAAATAAATATAAGTTCAAAAAGTTAACTAAATGATACTTACTGTAAAGTATTAAAATATACTTTTAGCTAATGATTATCTAAAAAAATAGTTAAATATTTAAGGATTGAAGTGGATATTAACCATAGGATGATTTCGAGAGAATTGTGAGACGATGCTAGTTTTTGTTGCAAGAGGATGACGTCATGCATAATGGCCAATGAAATTCGTCTATTGGGGGGTGGGGGGTGAGGGATAGTTTTAATTCTATTTTCAGAATTGTGGGTCAAAGGTCATCTGAAAAAATTTATAAATTTTTCGGGTCGTCGTATATAAAGGGTACACGACCAATGTAATTTGCAGTAAAAATTTACAATCAAATGTACACTATTTTTTAGCATTTACAAAAATTAACAGAAATATATGGGAAAAAGTGACAGAAATATTATTGTTAACATGCAACTTGCTATTCACGCACTCATAATGCAGCTGTCAATTGTAAGACGCACTATACGACCCCCGGGAAGGGTGCGTCATTTGTCAAATGTGCGTCATACATTTGCATGCCATGACGCACCCCTCCGTCAAAAATGTGACTGACCATTGTGTGAAATTGACGCACCAAAAAATTATTTTGTGACGGACCATCTCTTGAAAGTGACTGTACTTGACTGTACATTATGACGCACCCATTACAAGTACAAACGCGGTAGAATCTGGAACGTCATGACGTCACTATTATTTAATATAGTCGTCGAACGTCAAGTTCTCCTCGTTGTGTAGCTGGATTCTTAATCATTTTAATAAAAGTGAACCACCAATGCCATTTTTGAGGTCTATGTGAAGTACTTTAAGCATACAGGGTACCCGGACATCGTAGCAGAGGCAATATTCTTTAGGCATTTGTTTTAATATTATTGATGTAAGATATAATGATTTATATCAGTTCAGTATGCATATTTATATGTATAAAATGTAAGTATGTATGTATCTGTATGTCTGTGGTACAGTATGAGTACATATATAAATATGTGTGTGTGTGTGTGTGTGTGTGTGTGTGTATATAAGGTATATATGGGTAAGTTCATATGAGCGAATTTTTATTTTTTTATGTATTTTGTCAGTTTAATTAATATTCAGTTTTTGACACTTGATAACAGGGTTCGTATGTTTTTAAACAAGCAAATTTCCAGCCGCTAGAGGGCGTTATTTGTTTATGTCAGCATTTTGTAATGATGGACATAGACGCACCTATTTTTCAAAGTGTGACTGACCAAAATGGGTTTTTGACGGTACCCTGCGTCAAAATATTACGGTAAATGACGCAACCATGACGCACCTTTCCCGGGGGTTGTATAGCCTAGTGCGTCTCACAATTGACAGCTGCATAGACTTCAAATGTTTATAAAACCGTAACCAGTGGCTCAATTTTCCTCAAATAAAGTTTTTTATGATACTGAGAATAAGTAGTTTTTGTGCTATTTTTTGGGGGTTTTTTTATATTCAACTTTGTATTTATCATGTGGTACCTAGGCCTATACTAGCCTAGCCACGGCGAACAAAAAACGTATGATAAACCAATTGATCAACCTGGCATTAAAAATTATTAGATTTTGCGTTTTTGCAACTCTATTGGCGCTCCATATTTGTTCGAAAAAATGAGGCGCGACCGAAATTATATGTATTCCCTACTACTACACTAGCCTAGACCTAGCCTACTAGAGCATCGAGAGGCCTTACTACTGGTGCCTAGTCTAGGCCTCTCTAGGCCATAGGCTAGGCCTCTACTAACTAGGCCTAGTTAGTAGTAGCCCATGGTAGCCCTATACCTAGTATACTAACTTGAAAAAGAAAATGTATTTTCACACATACCACTCTGTTATCTCTTTTTCCCATGGTTCAATATCTTCAGCTAACTTTCCAATTATTAGAAGCAGCAACGATTATTGTTTGGAAGTAACGGTTCAACTAAAATTATCCGTTTTACTAGCCCCTAACAAAGCACATTACATCGCAGATTAAGAAGGGTAGACGGTCAATTTTGTTTAAATACGAGGTCGGAAAAATAATGTTGCGCCCTCTATTGTAACAGTTTACCCTCCCAATATAATAACAATATTAGTAATAATAATTGAGACCCTGACCACCTTTTTTCCCAGTTGACAAAATCGTCTCATACAATATCACTTTTGGAAAGTCACAAAAATTATAAGTACTTCAAAATGAGTAAGTTAATATTAAAAATAGTTTTTATGATTTTTTTTTGTATTTTCATTGGACAAATAATAATAATAATAATAATAATAATAATGGTAATAATGACAATGACAATTTAAAAAAATATATAATAATATCTCGAATATATAAGCAGGCTATCACTTTACATTTGGCAAGAACATACTAAAATTATTGCTACAAAAAGCTTTTATTTATTAGAAATTCAATCTTAAAAGTCCCGCGAAATTGTAATGAGCAGATAACTAAGAAATGCTGTGTTGGCCAGAGCCATGGTAAGAGAACCTACTCAATGACAAAAGTACTTATAATAATACTATACTAGTACTATATTAATACTTTCGTCATCGGAACAAAATTGTAGGGCCTATCCTTATCCTTAACTGTAGTCTGATCTTTGACAAAAGCGCATTGATAGATCTACGCCTGCAAGAAGAAAGTGCTCTGGAAATTTACATGTAAAAACAAACAAAAAATAACTTATTGTGGAGAGTCGCTTACAGCGCTTCGTAACTGAAAAGGAAAAGCGCTACAAGTAACAAGTAACAAGTAGGCTAAATTTCAATATTCATTATGTTCAGACAAGAGACAGAGAAAATGTGTGGGGAATGATTTGCTTCAATATTTATTTCAGACTCAATTACACAAGAAACAATTAATTACCATTAATCGCGATTGCACTGCCTTATGTGCTTATGAGCATGAAGAGGATTAAGTAAGTAAGTAATCGCGATTATCTTTACTCAAGAGTTTCCAGTTGTATATCATATATAATATCATATATTTTATTGTAATTGTGATTTTGCACCAGTCACATCCATCCACTGATCTCCGCTATAATAACGTAGATCATGTCAGTGGTCGCATCGTTATAATTATACTTTGATCGTATGTGATGGAGACAGAAATAAATCGTGATGCGCCCTCTGTAGCCACACTAGTTTGGTTTGTTGGTATGTGCATGGATGGGGATGCTTGTTTTTGTCGAGCGAGCCCTGATAATTCTCGCGACCGGGCGTTTTCGTATTGGTTTTGATGTTTATTCCTCAATCAAAGACGACAAGACATGGCTTATGTAGACCGGTCTGGCGATATGAACGACTCAAAGGCATTAGAAATTAAAACTAAATCTATAGAACAAACACTGGTGCCATTAGTAACACAGGTAAGATTAAATCAATCCTTTTATTATCTGTAGTGCGATGACAAGCCCACATCTCTCTTCTAGTTGTAACGAAGTGAAGATGGGCATCATTCACTGACTGAGGATGTACTACTGTAAACGTTGTTAATGTTAGGAAGAAGAGATTAAGAAAGCTTTCGTTCCACCGTCACATTTCTTTAGTAAAGTACTAACTGATTATTTAATAAATTCCAGCTAGATTATTGATACACTAATAATAGTATATTAATTAAGAGCTAATGGGTATGACGTACACATTTGCCAAGTACAATATAAATTTCAAGCACACACACAGCAGGTTGACTACATACAAGAAAATTAGCCTTACAGTCAAATAAAGATATTGTTGTACTTGTTTGTAGCTCTATACTCTATTCAGACTAGCATTGCATTGCGATCGGTTGTAGCAATTGTGACACTCAATTGGAATTCATAATTGTGTGTGAAATCTTACCAATAGTAGTCGATAAGTAATCGATATCGCAATTATACCTGTTGCGATTGGGTGTTAAAATATTTATGTTTATGTTAAGCGCATCCCAACGTAGTGTAGTCTGATTATTAATAGGGTACTAGGCCTTCTATAGTATTAACAGAGGCGTATATACCCTATTCAGACTATACTCCATTGGATCCTTAATCAAAAACTGATTACTCTTGATTGCAACCAACAAGCACATTCAGACCAAATCAGACACAAACTTTGGTGCCACAGACGGGTTAGAAGTAAGCTTTTAAAGTACGGTCAGTTTGCTTGTTGTAAGCCCTGGGTAGTGCTCATGAAGACTCAATTTGTATAATTCAAAGCTACTGAGACAATTTACTTATAAGAAGTCTGAGGAGTAAATGTGCTACTTTCTCGTACACAATGGAATAAACGCTTAGAGTATAACCGATATTTAGACGCACTTAATTCAGAGCTCGCTAGTAAATATGACCTTTATTATGACCTAAAATGTTTTCAATCTACCTTTGAACTGTAAAGAATATTATGCCATGGGTAACAATCGCCGGATTTAATGCACACTTGAAATTTTACGTCTGTCATGACTTTACAATACTTCAGGAGAAAGGCCTTCTGAACATAACTATTGAAACGGTAGGCCTCGGATAGCTAGACTATATTGACTGACCTTAGCCCATTGGTGCCTATCGAATTAATCAGATTCCATGGTAATCAGGATTAATAGGGGGGTTTCGCATGCGAGTGCATACAGTTAGTGTGACATATACATCATCATTTATGACATCATATCATCCACTAACTGTGTGGATGATACGTATATCTCACTCACTACACGTAAGTAAAAAACATGTAGGAATATTTTGGATATCTAGTAAGACCTTTAAAGTAATCAAGAAATCATTCACTTTTATGTTGATGGAGACAATGTGCATAGAATCCAAGTCTTGTAAAACTGGAGTTTAAAATTGAGGGGCTAGGGCCTATAAATGAATCATTTTCCTGTCTCAAAGATTTCGCCGTCTCGAAAGGGATTTGTCCCCTCAGCCCATCCTCATAGTTATATTAGGCCTACAGTACAGTACTTGTCTTTCGTTGAGAGGTGTAAGCAATTTTATTTATTTTGCAATAAATGAAATGAGGATGTGTGAGGCTGTAAAATATTTCCCGCGTAAAATATTAGGCCCAAAAATCCGTTGCCGCATTTTGAAAATATAAGCCGATTTTGACGGATATTTTGCAGAAAATTGAGGCCTTTATAGTAGGAACACGAGTATTTACGATTCTGCGCATCTATTTTTAGTTCCTTTGTGACCTTATAAGGTCTTTACTTTAACCGCAGTTTAGCGAGCTGCTTATTTTTAGCGACAGTAAACAACAAAGAAATTTACAAGAATGGGTTTTGTGTTTTAATTTATGGTGACCAATGTCAGTTTTAAGCAATTTTAAGAGTTTCAAGTCGGCAGAATTCGGAGACAATTCCTTTATTTTTTGAGCATAATAAATTTATCGACCTAGGCCAACTTACTCAATCCTCAGACCCTGGGACTTCACCTGGGGAAATTCGTGTACGCGAAGTTGGGCGTAAAGTCGGTGTGGGATTCTACCCGGGGAACTATGGTAATATTTTATAGCAGTAGTGACTGAGAGAGTTTTCACTATTGTTGAAAAAACAAAACCAAGCTTCAAGCTAGCATGACAACAAAAGCTTAAAGTGCTTTAATGACACACAAGCTGAAAATGTTGAACAGAGATTATAAGTGTCATTCGAATAAATATTGACGTTATGACTCCAATGAGATCCAGCGAAACAAGCAACATACCGTGCCCTTCTTGGTGAAGTCTGTAAGCCTACTGATTAAAATGTAACTTAAATATTTTTTCTTGGTTGTGAGGTAAATAAACAGTACACTTGAAATTAAGTAACTCTTGTTTTGTTTGAAGCAACTGTACAGGAATTAGGATATATAATTGCCATCTTAATTTTTTGTCGCCAATGAATAGCGTCCCTATTTTTGATATTCGAATGTTGGCAGGTATGTCCTCTCAGACTTTGGCTGAGAACTCGTGTATCGTGGGAATCAACCATGCCTGAAAAATGGTTACTTGCAGTTGACGTGACGATGGCTTTTAAACACACAATAAGAAACGATCAACACACTCCTATACGTAGAATATTATTAATAATGTTTATTTTATTGAAATTCTCCATATTATTATAAATTCTTGCAAATTAAAAAAAGAAAGAAAAACAATTTTGCTTTATCAAAGCAGTATGCATGTAGGCCTATAAATGTGGTAGGGCCTTAGCAAAAATACTTAATTTTGTGTTATTTTTTATGATTATTGCGCAATAATATTGGGACAAGTAAAATTGTCTTCAGGACAAGTGCATTTTTCAAAGGTGCTTGTCCGGGGACAAGTGAAAATCTATGAAATTCCCTCATGCCTGAATCCTTTTTTTCTTGCTTCATTTTTAGCAAGAATTCATTGTGTGTGGTGTACAATACTGTAGCTGTGCTAGGCCTAGAAAAAACAAACGAGGCATGTTCGTGCAATAATATTTTTTTGGCCTTGTTACAGTACCTGTCTTTTCCTAACCAGCTAACCGGTGACCTACACCAAAACAATCCAGGCTGAAAGGACTCAAGGCTGAAAAAACCCCATATTATTTGAATTCAAGAGGTTATTGCACTTTCCTTTACCGTTTGTACTGTTACTGATAGTATTTTATTGCCCAGGTGATATCAAGAACTAACTCAAATTATGTGCATAGAATTTTAACTAACTGTGTAATACATCTGGTAGTGGTTAAGTGCCTAGGTCTAATTTTCTGCAAACTTTGCTTGGAAATCAGCCCTGAAATGAAATGCGTTTCTACTGTAGGACTAATAAATTTGTGAGCAGAGGGTTTGTTGCACAGAACCTAATTGGAGCCTGCCGAGGGAGAGGTCCTGGATCAGAGACAAAATACCAGTACTGTATCTGTAGACAAATACTGTACAGAAATGTAATTTACATGAGCTTTGGCAGATTCAATGTTTATCTCTCCTAAAGTTTTGAAAGTCCAGAATACTTAACCTGGATCTATCTATCCCAAAAGAGAATACCCCTTGAAAACAAAATGGAACTGTAACAGTGGGCCGTGGCACTTCTGATTTGTGTAATTTTTTTAAAATTGGGGAAACACTTATGTTTCGGCCCTACCAATACATGAAAGATGTAGATAATAACACACAAAGAAACCAGTCCTGACAGGAGTATTGCTGGCACCACAATGCCCAAAACAACAGCTATGCTACTGTAGCTCACATAGCCTGACGAAGTCATGTTGATAACGATGAAAGCTTGCAATAAGTTAATATCCATTGTGTTTGGTTTTAAAGATTAAAACAGTCCAAAAACAATTCCACACTTGATGCATGCCTATAGGTCTATTCCAAGTTGTTATACTCCAAAAAAAGGATACCACTATGCCGAATAATTTAGGGAATCTAATCTTTACATCTAGCATTTAAACCAGCCAGGTATTATCAACGATTACAACACCACACATCTTCTAATAACCAACTGAAAGTTTGTGTTTCTTCGTGAGGAAAACGAAAACAAAAAATTTAAAAAATCATTTTTTCTTGCTTTGTGCGCTATGGCTACGTAGTCTATTTTACTATATAATTAATAGTGAAAAGGTAGAGTTTGTTGTGCATGAAATTAAAATGTCAGAAAAAAGAATTTAAAATATGATTTTTTAGGATTGTGTTGTGAAATTCAAAGTGAAGGTTTGAACCTCCGACTTCGTGTTTGAGAGACTGAAATGCAACCGCTGTGCCAATCATCTGCCTGTTTGACTAATGTCATGTGATCTACTGGTGTGGGAGCAGTGGTGGCTCATATAATTTTAGGGGAGCAAACTGTTGAACAGTGTGTTTGAATACAAAGCTTAGAGGGGGTTCTAGTGTCCAAGCTTCTGGTGCCCAATGGCATATCTAGAGGGGGTGCACAGGGGCACACGCCCCTCCAAAATCACTCGTACCCTCCCAAGTAGCCCCCAAAAATCACTTGCAAGTAGTTAAAAATCACCTTATTTTGCGAGTAAGCGCACCTAAAATGATCATCGAGCCCCCCCCACTTCACC